CAGTGTTCCTTTGCGTTTTCTGTGTGCTCCTTGCTCCTTTTGGATTATTCAGGAGTTCAGGAGTTCACGGACCTCTACTAAAATAGCGGCCGAGGGGGGTCGTTGTACTATATAGTAGAGTGACCCCGGGGGCAATCTACTATATAGTGCAATGACCTTCCACTACGGGGGCCATTCTACTATATGACACCGGACCATAACGACGGTGACAGGTACTAGTATGAATTACATGTATATGTCGTACTGTCACAAACTGATTTGTCAGGGAAGAGTTAGGCTGTGTTTAGATGAGAAATTTCAACCCGGGTCGAGTTCAGCCCGGGTTGAAAGTCTGTACGATAGACAAAAGAGGTGAGCGTTTACATGAAGACAGTTGACCCGGGTCAAATACTGATATGCCGCCAAAAGTCCACTTCTACAGTCCTGTTTGGTCACGTGAATCCGTTCGCGCGAAATTTGCATCTGCAGTGCCGTTCAAACCTGGCGCGAGATACGCACAGAAGTACGTTTGTACGATTTTCTTGACCCGGGTTGATTTCAACCCTCCCCTTGGGGGGAGGGTTGAAATCAACCCGGGGCCAAACAGACAGAGCCAAACAGACAGAAAAAGTTGCTACTAAAACAATTTCAAACGAATAATGCTGTCCTTCTGGACACACAGATTAGGCTTATGAATACGTTGACAAACGGCTTCTAACACACTCAACTGCAACTTATAACCATGACGAGCACGGCACAAAACAGAAAAAGAAGAATCAGAATAAACCTTACAGCAATCAGGACGAGATGCAAGATGCTTATACACTGATGACTTCCTACTAGAAAACACACGCTCGCACCCACTCTTACTCACACGATCATTCTCGCTCTCACACTCACCGGAATCACTGGACTCACTGGCTCTATTCTGATTCTTCTTTTTCTGTTTTGTGCCGTGCTCGTCATGGTTATACATGTAAGTTGCAGTTGAGTGTGTTAGAAGCCGTTTGTCAACGTATTCATAAGCCTAATCTGTGTGTCCAGAAGGACAGCATTATTCGTTTGAAATTGTTTTAGTAGCAACTTGTTCTGTCTGTTTGGCTCTGGTTGGCCATGGTGTCATATCTTGTGTCACAGTATACTAGTAGTCCTTACAAGTTCGCTAAGTGCTTTCGCAGTTTTTCCTGTTATTACCTTAGTGCTAGGATTATCATTTTCATAGGTGTTGTTTCTTCTCACTCCATTTCTCTTTATTAGTATCTTTCTGGATTGTTTTTCATTAGTACAACGTAGCTTCCTGAGGAGTGTTGTGCGAAAACTAGTTCGAAGTACAAATTTTTTGTTCATCATTTCTTCCATATCACATTTTTTCTCTTCCATGTTCTTCACCGCCTTCGTATACACTCGTTTTTTGAATACAATAAAAGCCTCTGTGAAAATGTCGGTTCAGCTCGTTCTGTTGATCGCAATTCTAAAATTATTATTATTATTTAAAAATTCGACGAGGAGACAATAATTTTAATATGGCAATAAGTAGGACGAGCTGAAGCGACATGTGGACTACTTTATTAACAATGTAAGCGATGGAGACGATGCAAGAAACAATCTAAAGGGTAAGGAAAATACATGTAAGAAGAAAAAGGGCAATGGAAAAAAAGATGATTCGAACAAGTTTTCGTACAACACTCTTCAGGAATCACCGTTGTACTAAAGAACAAAATGAGAACAAAGGAAATAATATAGCAATCAAGGTAGGGTGACACGATACAATGACAGCACTGGAATATCGAGGGGCGATTTCTCACAAAAGCGTGCAGAACACAAGGGTATACAAGTAAGAACTAAGCGTGACAAGTGTGTATCAGCAACAAAAACAAAAAAGTGAGAACGAATGATAATAATAACAATAATAAACAAGAAGGTGACAAAACACATTTAGGCACAAGTGGCAACAACGTTGCCACACTACACAAAAGAACATTATTTGAACAAAAATTCGACGAGGAGACAATAATTTTAATATGGCAATAAGTAGGACGAGCTGAAGCGACATGTGGACTACTTTATTAACAATGTAAGCGATGGAGACGATGCAAGAAACAATCTAAAGGGTAAGGAAAATACATGTAAGAAGAAAAAGGCAATGGAAAAAAAAGATGATTCGAACAAGTTTTCGTACAACACTCTTCAGGAATCACCGTTGTACTAAAGAACAAAATGAGAACAAAGGAAATAATATAGCAATCAAGGTAGGGTGACACGATACAATGACAGCACTGGAATATCGAGGTGCGATTTCTCACAAAAGCGTGCAGAACACAAGGGTATACAAGTAAGAACTAACCGTGACAAGTGTGTATCAGCAACAAAAACAAAAAAAGTGAGAACGAATGATAATAATAACAATAATAAACAAGAAGGTGACAAAACACATTTAGGCACAAGTGGCAACAACGTTGCCACACTACACAAAAGAACATTATTTGAACAAAAATTCGACGAGGAGACAATAATTTTAATATGGCAATAAGTAGGACGAGCTGAAGCGACATGTGGACTACTTTATTAACAATGTAAGCGATGGAGACGATGCAAGAAACAATCTAAAGGGTAAGGAAAATACATGTAAGAAGAAAAAGGTCAATGGAAAAAAAGATGATTCGAACAAGTTTTCGTACAACACTCTTCAGGAATCACCGTTGTATTAAAGAACAAAATGAGAACAAAGGAATATAGCAATCAAGGTAGGGTGACGCGATACAATGACAGCACTGGAATATCGAGGGGCGATTTCTCACAAAAGCGTGCAGAACACAAGGGTATACAAGTAAGAACTAAGCGTGACAAGTGTGTATCAGCAACAAAAACAAAAAAGTGAGAACGAATGATAATAATAACAATAATAAACAAGAAGGTGACAAAACACATTTAGGCACAAGTGGCAACAACATTGCCACACTACACAAAAGAACATTATTTGAACAAAAATTCGACGAGGAGACAATAATTTTTGTCACTAATGCGCGCTGTGCCTGGCTGCATAATAATATTACCGCCCAAGTCGCAACTTCTAGGCTACGTTTTATTATTATTATTGTAAAGCTTTCCTTTTGACCTTGTCTCTTATACAATATTGTGTTGCATTGTTTTTAAACAAATTCCGACGGTGTGCCAAGGTAAAAAATAAATAAATTTGGAGGGGATTGAGTAAATTTGGAGGTGACAACGTTGCGAATGACCAAGGCCCCTCAACATCTGTTCTCAAAGTCCAGGAGCGAAACTGACGCACGCGCGCACTGCTTTCTGGCGCTCACGAGGTGTTTTTCGCGCTGGAAATGGAGCTTCTCTGTCCGTTTGTATCCCGGGTGATGCTTTGGCCTGGAGAGCGCTATAAGTGGTGCTCTTCAGACAAAATCTTTCTCAGCCTACAGAAGCACAACTGATCAGGGGTAAGTTCCCCAAAACACTGTGAGCATGGTGTTGTGCTGTATACATGTAGGGCAGGTTGGTCGAGTGGCAGGTTCCGTGGACTTGTTGTGTACTCTTATCTAGATGGCAGTCATGAGTCAGTCAAGTGTCAAGTCAGTTGGCGGAAAATCGCGAGCTCCGGTGTGGGGAGAACCTCTCCCATGAAGTCACCGCCCAAGTCGCTACCACTATCTCCTAGTGTTACGGGGTGAGGATATAAATACACAAAATACATGATACATGTATTTGCAATGATGTACTATAACAGGGAGGTGGGAAGTCAAAATGGCACTAGCTTCCTAACAAACTCCTTCTGTCTACACAGCTCAGGCTTTAGCTGGGCAATGTAAACAGCCTCTAGCACATCTAGGTGACATTTGCTGCGCGCCCGCGCGTGAATCTTGAAGTGCTCTGGAACATTCTTACATACTGCATTCAGGCAAGAAGGGACAGAAGGAGTTTGTTAGGAAGCTAGTGTTATTTTGACATCCCACCTCCCTGTTATAGTGCGTGTAGTCTTTGGCGCAACTCACACTATCATTCAGTCTGTGCACGTTTCATCACAATTTTTCCGCCAATATGCTATATAAATTGACATCGTTGTGCTTCGTCACATTATCACCATGTACTGATTTTGAAGAGTAATTGTACGAAAGGCCTCATCAGATTATGAACTAGCTTCGTCTCTTCGTGTGCTGATATATTTCCCGCCAACTAAGTCTCTATTAATTAAAATACACATAATTATAGCATAAATAATTAGTGTTTAGCGTGAGTGAGATGAAAAATAGATAACGCGTGGCTGTATATCTGGATGAAGGACTGGGTAGTGAGCTTGCAAGATTCTCCGAAAACAGGGTAAGTAACTATGTTCCTAAACATCAGCTAATATTTTGGAAACTGAAAATAAGCACGGTGTTTGTCAGCTGACAACCTCTCTATTTAGTCGCTATTTACACATATCTCACATAATTATAGACGTGACATTAATTTTGACTTGTTCACATTCAGTCACACTTCGACGGAGGTATATATGTGGTCTGATGCACTCATTATATTATTGCTTACGTAACGCAATGGCATTGGTAGAGGCATCATTATTACCTGCTGATCCGACTAAGAGAGAGAGAGAGAGAAAACAAACTGTGATGAATACATAATATATATAATTATGGATAAGGAATAGTGAGAAAAAAGGAATAGTGATCCTGATTCAACAAGAACCAAGGATAGCAAGCGAAGTCAAGCTTCAATACCGAAGAGCTAACTAATCTTTGGGGACAAGGTGAATGAAGACGCACAGACTTTAGGATGGATGAACAATGATAGTGTTATGCGAGAGAGGATACGTTCGTGACAGAAAATACAGGGAGAGGGGCAGACTAGGGAGTGCTTGCATTATCCGCTTGTGCACCACAAAATAATCAGTGAGAAGTTAGGACTGAATAAAGGAGGGCGTACAAGTCAATTGATGCACTGTAGTCGGTGGTCGTACAGATAATCGAAGCCATCATGAAGGAACAGACAAAATGCAGTTCAAAGGCTTCGCTAATTTAATAGCCATGAATTCTGAATTCACAGATAGATGTGCGTTTACCAGAGCATCTAATGTCGTTAAATCTTCCATCCGCATGTATATCCAGACAGTCTTCGTTTCCTGCGTTGTTTGGTTCACGGGGAAAGAAATTGTTGATCGCCGCTGGCTGTCCGTTGTTGTCGACAAACTCACCCTCCTCCTCAACATCATTGTATCCAATATGGGCAGGATGCAATTGAAGCAGGGGACGAACGAAGTTCTCTAGGACAATGAATTCCTTCATGTTGAGTGGCGCTGCCAGTTCTCCGCCGTTGCGCTGGCAGTTCTTGATAGCATCTTCGCGGTTCATAGGAGTAGCTTCGAAACGGTAGATGAGGAGACCATACTCTGAGTTTCCGCAGCACTCTACTGAGGTGGGAGCTGTGTTCGAAGTCGACCGTTTGCCTGCATGCATCATAGCCAGTCTGTTGTCTTCAACATTTGCAATGTCTTCAACATTTGCAATGTCTTCATTGCCATGGGAATATTGCTCGTCAACCTTTACAGCATCATCCTTGCTTTCAAGGCCATCAGCATCCTCACTCGAATCGGGAAACGTTTCGGAGTTACTCGGTGAGGGAAGGCTGGACACCCCTGTCAAGAATATCATACACAATACGAGAGCCAATGAAAAACGAAACATGATTTCTTTCTTGGTTCGAGAACAAACTGTTCCTCCGTATTAATGAGCAGAGAAAGGGAAATGCTGATTTTGATGATCGACTTCTGAAGATTACTCGTGTTAGGTCTCTTCTTTATATTATACTCTCTTCACGCCATGTACACTTGTGGGAATGTCATGCACGCAACAGTGGAGACGTTTAGCTTACAAACTGTGCATACCTGTAATCTTCTTTTCATTTCGCGACAATTGTACATAGTACTTCAGAAGTAGGGCAATACTTAGTAGAGTGCATAGCTTAACGAAGATTGGTGTTCGCAACAATTTGACATTATTTTATTGATTTTATCATTGTCATTATCACTGTGATTTGTACTGGGTTGGTGACCAGATCATAACTTTGTTTAAGATTAAGGGCAATATAATAATAATGATTATTACGAGTTGTGGCTAACAATTGTCTCAGGGCGTTGAATGAATGTCTCAGTACCCACCCCACCCCTAGTTCTGTCGCTGTGGCAAATGCTTTCAGTAGAATTTGTCTAGGAGGAAGGGAAGAATATTGGGAGTGATGACAAACAAATCCTACACACACAAGCTGCTCAATATTGTGAGATCTCGGTAGTGCCACACCAAAGTACATACTTGTCACTTACGGGTGGAGGGGAAGGACTGAGACAGTCAACGAACTGAGAGGATTGTTAGTCATAACTCGTAACATCTCCCCATCCTCACTTTATTACCGGCCTGCAGACTTTCGATCATATAATTATGATCGAAAGTCTGCAGGCCAGTAATTTCTTCGTAACTCCATCATTTCTTGTGCGAATTCAACAATCGAAAGGTCTATTTGGTAGCGGAAACTCCAAGCTATCCAATACAACAATCGCCGAAGAGTTACGATGTCGGACACCAGAGATATCGCGCGCCGTATTCTCACCTCGGCAAATTCAAATATTTGATCGATCACTTCGCCATTTTGGGGGAAAATCCCTTTTCGTGTGCTCTTTGAGCGACTAAGCACACGATAATGACGTAGCCAGCTGACGTTTGAATCGTCTCATATAAATTTGAGCGTTCTACGATGAAGGAGAGTGGAATGGCGTTGATGGGACGAATTTGCTTGCATATCAGGCTTGGAGACGACTTTGCTGTGTTACCGCGCCTGGTTTGTGGCGACTGGATAATGGAGCTTGGTACCCTGGCGTTCCTCACGCCAAGAGCTTTCCAACGAGCTCTAGATTGTGGAAATCAAGTGAAGGAGACCAAAGTTATGACCTGGTGAAGTTGGAAATTGTGCTGAAATTTGTAATCCTGGTTCATGCTGTGCAAGTAATCCGGTAATAAAGGGAAATAGGTTTAAAGGGGAACTCCGGTCCAAAATCACCCCCATTTTTTATTGCGGAATCCATTAGAGTATGTCGTAAGTGGTAGAATGGCGAAAACCGGAAGCTTCTACGACAAGGATAACATACCTAAATTACCAATTGCAATTTTCCATATTTGGCACGAGGGGCCCCCGCCCACCCTGTGACGTAAAACGTTCTCAGTGACCTCCAAATTTTTTTATTCAAATGGTAGACCTGCAGAAATTTTGAAAAAGGTATTCACTGTTTTTCTTCAATCAATAACCCTTGTACTAGTATTCATTCGATCATCATGTTGGAGGAAGAGGAGACCACGGGAGGTGTGGAGGTGGACGCCACTTCAGATTCAACAACACCGAGGCCTTTTAGGTTCGAGCCGAAGCGCGCATCAGCGTCTGCGAAACTGTCTACAAGTAATATTTCTGAGACTACAAAACAGATGAACGTGAAGAAAACGCTTTGGTTGCAAGTGCTCGCGTGAGAAGCACTGCTTGATGCCGTTGCGGACAATGCAGCATGATGTGGAGCGAGGTCGAGTCGACTTGTTGCTGGGAGGTTCCTGCAGCTTTCAGTAAACGCGGCGAGCAGGAAGGGCTGCAGTGCGTCACGCAGCACTCAGAGTTTGCTGTTGTTTGCCTGCAAAAATCAGTGCTCGAGGTGGCATTGCTTTCCTTCGAAGAATTTCGGGCAAGGTGTGGACCGTGGTCAAACAGGTGAGGATTCACTGAATCGGTTTCATTATTTCCTTTCTTTCCATGTTTCATGTACCGGTACAAAGTGGATGGGAAGTGTTGTGCAATGATTTTGTGTACAGTATTCAAATTCACCAACTTCCATCACACAATCATGAAGTTCTATTGCACCCATGCCAATATAATTATACTGGTACAACGATGTCTTTCATTCATACTATTCCTAGCACTGTAAGTGTTTCAACTGTGTGTAAAAGTGATGTAAATTTGAAAAAAGGCCAAAGTGTTTGTATAGTAGCCCATAGAAATATTAATTCGAATCCGAAACTATTTACACTGAAACTATTTACTTTTACACAATCATGAAGACGCTCGTGGTATGTGTATCTACATCTCTCCAACTGTTTTGTGCAGGATTTGGAGACATGTGGCGTATAGACAATACACATGGTTCACCCATGGATACTTTGGACGCAAGCAGCGGCGTGTGATACCGTCTTGCGTGGTATCGAAGATAAAGCAGCTGTACCAGAAGCCAATGCAGATGCGCACTGGGGCTTTGAGGAAGCAGTTGGACATGATGATGATGATGATGATGATGATGATGATGATAATGCTTCTTGGCCTGGTTGACGTTCACATAATCATTGGTACATGTGCATGCAGAATGTAGAAAACAGTTGACAGACACGATTTATAACTATTCTTGACTTGGGCAATATTTGTGTTTTCGGGTGGGCGCATGCTTTGCACCAATGCAGCTGCATGAACAATCTGGTAAAGTTGACAGATACAATGGCACAAGACTGTACTGTGTTCGGGAGCATGGGGTTGTGCCGGTGCTGTGTGCCGTTGCGAATGCCGAGAATGGTTGTATGCACATCGTTCAACAGGTCCTTCAAGAAGTTGCAGGACATTGTCGTGCTGCTTCTTGGCCACTTTGTGCTCTTGGTGTATTCCAGTCTGTACCTGAGCACACCCTCCTTGGTTTTGGTGTGCGCTCTCCCTATATTGGCATTGTGGGACAGACATGCCGACTGTACCCGTGCTCTCATGCCATTGTACGAAAAGTGGACACGTTTTGGTGCCCACTTCAGTATGACAGCATGGAAAATTTCCAGACTACAAATCATGCTGTACCTTGTATTTGTGGCAGTGTAGCTGCAACCGGAAAGTAACGCAATGGAAACTTACAGATAAAGAGAACTGAAATAACACACATGATAACGTTCCATGTACATTACATAAATTCTCGACTTCACTGACTAGGATTTTGAGTAGAGGACTTTGAGTAGGACTGTAGTCGTTTAGAGCTACGTTCTGGATGGCACAAAATCATGCCGCTCACTTACCTCATCGTGCTCACGTTCCTGGAAGTAAATCGAAGATGGTCTGCTTTTGCTGGCAGCAGAGGTAGAGGAGCTACTAACTATTAGTATGACATGCACCGCCAAGTTTCAGGATGGCAGAGACCCTGGCTTCAAGCGTCGTTGCTGCTTCTGCTTATAGCCACCAATGCTTTGTGCAAACTCTTGTTGGAAATCTCTTTCATAGCACATCTCAGTGAAATGCTCAGTGCAGACACGATTATTTTTCGTCCGAGAAAAATTCCTTCCAACATACTCTCCATAGCCAAGCTTTCGTCAGGTTCGCGTCAGCCAGAGGAAAGCCATGCTACGACAGCCCGCAGGCGCCTCTTTCTTCGTGACATTGTTGCATCCAGAGACGCAGCAACGAGTCGTGACAATAAATCGGGCATGGCACAGAACAACAAGCACTTCAACAATGGCCAAGGACTTTTCATTCTTGCTTCAATTATTTGAAAATTTCATCTGAGTGGACCGGGCTGAGAACGTTTTACGTCACAGGGTGGGAGGGGGCCCCCTCGTGCCAAATATGGAAAATTGCAATTGGTAATTTAGGTATGTTATCCTTGTCGTAGAAGCTTCCGGTTTTCGCCATTCTACCACTTACGACATACTCTAAGGGATTCCGCAATAAAAAATGGGGGTGATTTTGGACCGGAGTTCCCCTTTAATTGGCTCACCATCCGAGTAGTTAGAGTACAAAATAATGATTATTATTATGTTGTTTGCGTGTGTGTGATTTGTTAGTCATTATTTACTAGCACCATTTTGTACTTCCTTTTAGACATTAATATTACCGGGTTTTTTTAAGTGATAACTCTATATTATTACATGTGTGTACCTGATTAGTAAGTAATGACGTATACCATGTTGTCCTCCTTCGTAAGTAATAAGACACGATGTTTAATGTGCTTCCATGTAAGTATTTTTGAGAGGAAATTCCCAACAGGCGTCAACGCCTTTTGTACAATGAACACTGTTAACGACTTTATTGATGATCGAAATTTAGCTGGTGAGCTAGACATATTGAAAGCTACAGTCCTTCCCCAGACGCGCAAAAAGACCTCTCCCACTAATCCCGATATAACAGATTCTTGACTGATTTTTGCCGCGAAAGCGAAAAAATGTTCTCAAATTTGAGAACTGTCCTAAATTGGTTCTGAGAGATGGAAGCTGGTTTACATGGCCTACGTCGTTTTACTTTGCACCACCTCATTTTATTTCATACCATGTATTCTTGACGGGACTCTCTTTCGGCAGATATATTTTTAGTGAAGTTTCGTAGAGGAGACGTATATTGAATATGTTGTGAACGAAGCTGAAATTGGCATTTTTATGCACCTAATTTCAAGCCGAATTATCGCCATAGCACGCAGCGTTTTCGTTCAGCATGAAGGCGGCAACGTGTAGAGGCAAGCAATACCTATCATTTACAGGATAAGGTTAATGAAAACGTGAAGTTTATAGGAGGGATGAACAATAATAGCGTTATGCAAGAGAGGCTAAAATGATAATCCGTGACATACATTGTAAAAGGAGGGAGAGGGCAGACTAGAGAGTGTTTGCATTATCCGCTTGTGCGCCACAAATAATCGGTGAGAAGTTAGGTCAAATATGTAGATGAAGGCGGTACACGTCGATTTGTGGGTGCAGTGAATGGTCCTACAGATTATCGAAGCCATCATGAAGGAACTGAAAACATGTAGGTCAAATGCTGTGCTAATTTAATAGCCATGAACTCTGAATTCACAGATCGATGGGCGTTTAGAAGAGCATCTTATGTCGTTAAATTGTCCATTCGGAAATATTTCCAGACAGTCTTCGTTGCGAACGTTGTTTGGTTCGTGGGGATAGAAATTGTTGATCACCGTTGGTTGTCCGTTGTTGTCGACAAACTTACCCTCCTCCTTAAAATCATTGTAGCCAATATAGGCACGACCAAACGGACGAACGAAGTTCTCCAGGACAATGAATTCCTTCATGTTGAGTGGCGCTGCCAGTTCTCCACCATTGCGCTGGCAGTTCTTGAGAGCGTCTTCGCGGTTCATTAAAGTTGCCTCGAAACGGTAGATGAGTAGTCCATACTCTGAGTTTCCGCAGCACTCCACTGAGGTGGGAGGTGTGTTCGACGTCGATCGTGCCTGCATCATAGCTAGTCGGTTGTCTTCAGCATTTGCAATGTCTTCATCATTTGAAATGTCTTCATTGTCATGGGAATATTGCTCGGCAACCTTTACAGCATCATTTTCGCTTTCAAGGCCGTCTTCATACGAATCGAGAAACCTTTGAGCGTTAGTCGGTGAGGGAAGGCTAGATACTTCGGTAATGAATACCATACACAAGGCGAGAGCTAAGGAAAAACGAAACATGATTTATATCCTGACTCGATTTTCGTTCTTTTTATGAAACGGAAAATAGTGAAAACTTCTTTGGTAGGATCGACTCTTGACGATAGCCCGTATGAGTTTGCTGCTTTATATACACACTACGGACACCATGTACTCGTACATATATATGCATGTGATGCCAGGATCAGTGGAGTGTATTGAAGTTACAGACTGGTCATGTCTGTAATCCCGCTTTCATTTCGCTGCAATTCAACACGGTAGGGCAAGACTTAGTAGAGTGCGTAGCTAAACGAAGGTTGGTGTTCGCAACAATTTGACATTATTTTATTGATTTTATCATTGTCATTATCACTGTCATTTGTACTGGGATGGTGACCAGATCATGTCTTTGTTTAAGAGGATGGACAATATTATTACGAGCTATAACTAACAATGGTCTCAGGTCGTTGTATGAATGTCTCAGTCCCCCCCCCCCCCCTCCCCTCCATCAGGTCTGCTTCCCAGGAGGAAAGAGAGAATATTGAGATTTATGACAAGCAAATGACACACACACACACACACACACACACACACGCACACAAACTGATAGACACTGCTAGATAGTGCCACACCAAATCACAGAACTGACTGGGGGGGGGGGAGTACTGAGACAGTCAACTAACTGAGACGAGTTTTAGTCATATCTCATAACATTGTGTCGATCCTCTTAATATAGATTTAATTTGCTCAAGATCTGAGTAGAAATGTTGATTATATTATGTTGTTTGTGTGTGTGATTTGTTATTCAAGTAACTAGTACCATGTTGTACTTCCTTTCAGACATTATAATTACCGGTATCTTCAAAGTAAGGACTAGCTGCTATAATGCCGGTAGAAAATTCGACAGAAAACAGCATCAGAGACGAGACTGAGAGCAGAATGTCACAGCACAGATGCTTGAAAATGCAGAATGTCTATCCTGAGTCCTAAAACTCCTAACCTGAAGGCTTTACCGTGATCTCAGCAATCCTGCGTACTTTTTTAGCATTGCAGTTCAAGCTCTCGCTCGTGCTTGGCAGAGGGTGCTGCGTTTTGGGGCCGAGATGCAGCCCTACATCATCCAGTCCGTAAGCCAAAGCACAAGTGACAGGCGCTGACGCTTGATTTCGTGCTGTACTTACTTCAGTACAGATGTCAAAGTGCAATGTCTGTTTCAGCACTCGCACGATATCCATGTAGCACGCACTGAAGATGGTGGTTCCTCAAATTTTATTTCATTTTGTATAATGTGTAGAATGATATGCAACAGGATGAGCACTTTTTGAGCAGAAATATCAGCAGAACCCCATGTCCTTTGAGCAGAATTTTGAGCAGACTAAACAGCAGCTTCCTTTGCCGAGCATTATCCGCCAGTCCCTACTTCAAAGTGAGCTGTTGTTGTTATTGCTGTATACTTTATTTATGGTCGAAATCGAACTGTCACGAACAGAAAGCCAATATCCTACTAAACTCCATATTACTATTTTTTGGTATTGGCTCAACATCCGTGTTTTTAGTAAGCACACCTGATGAGCCGTTACAAGCAATACACCCAACCGTACGTCGTGTGAAACCACTTGTTATTGTACCAAACTTGTCGATCATCCTTACATCAACATGGAGTTTAGTAGAATGTTGGCTTTCGGTTCGTGACATTTCGTCTTCGCTTTATTTCCCCTCTTCATGTATTTTGCATATCTTTGTATCTCCTAAGTTGGGTGGTCGGTTGTCTTGCGTGTTCGTGTTGTAGTTGGACCGGTTTGTCCAATGGTCGTACTAGTCTCGTCATCATCATCCCGTAACGTTCGACATTCTTTGTTGCCGAGGGACATTGCTCGTGCACCTCTTCGTCGCGCATCCCTTCCACTCATTGACACATTCCGCACCTGAGCCTTCCAAGTTGGAAGGTTGTTGGTTTGCGCTTCGTAGACGTGTTGGAGGTAGGTGTCCAGTCGTCGAATGTCTCAATATCCTTGCCAATTTTGTGCCTTGTTGTCGCACTATCTCACTATCTGACTGTATTTTATCTCGTTACCTTGGTGGACTGTTAGTCATAACTAGTAATTTACAGGCCCTTTTCTCTTTCAATATTACTATCGGCTCGACATCTGAGTTTATAATAATGAAAATAGCCTGTAACATACAAAGAGCACAGTCATCCAGTAGCCACTTCCAGTGTTTAAAATAAGAACACCGTATTATCTCTAATATAAGCACGGTCCTTTATTTTTCAATGTACCTCTGCCCCGTGCTATTAATGGAGACGTTCCTTTATTGGAGACTGTTCCATTATTATTTCAACTTCATTTCAGAGGCATGTTGCCATGCCAAATTCATGTATGACACACACACATTTAAGGGGTTTTTCGCCGGTACAGACAATGAATTTACACAGTGTGCTTATAATGGAGACTGAGAACTTTATTTTTTGAATGCCGGCCCAAGGTGTTCTATTATTGGAGACGTGCTATTATTGGAGACAGTGCTTATATTAGAGATAATACGGTATTCTGCGATAATTTAGATCTCACATGTGAGCAACCTTCGCGTCGGAAACAACCAGCTCAGCAGACTGCCTCAAACTACTTCGAAGTAATGAATATTGATATCTGGTCGGGCAACAATAGAATCCTGAAAACCTTGGCCACAACACTACGAGATAATGGTAGCGACTTCGCTGATGATTTCATAGGAAAGGTGCTCGCCACACCGGAGCTCTCGCTTTTCCGCCGACTGACGTACGACTGCCATCCAGAGCAAACAAGAGGTTGCGACTACTAGTAGTTGATTTGGAGGTGACAACGTTGCGAATGACCAAGGGCCCTCAAAATCTGTTCTCAAAGTCCAGGAGCGAAACTGACTCACGCGCGCACTGCTTTCTGGTGCTCACGAGGTGTTTTTCGCGCTGGAAAAGGAGCTTCTCTGTATGTTTGTATCACGGGTGATCCTTTGGCCTGGAGGGCGCTATAAGTGGTGCTCTTCAGAAAAAATCTTTCTCAAGCCTACTGAAGCACAACTGATCAGGGGTAAGTTCCCCGAAACACTGTGAGCATGGTGTTGTGCCGTATACATGTAGGGCAGGTTGGTCGAGTGGCAGGTTCCGTGGACTTGTTGTGTACTCTTATCTAGATGGCAGTCATGAGTCAGTCAAGTGTCAAGTCAGCTCCGGTGTGGGGAGAACCTCTCCCATGAAGTCACCGCCGAAGTCACTACCACTATCTCCTAATGTTACGGGGTGAGGATATAAATACGCAAATACATGTAGCATAATTATTTTTTAGCGTGAGTGAGATGAAAAATAGATAACGCGTGGCTGTATAATGATGAGGGACTGAGTAGTGAGCTTGCAAGATTCCCCGAAAACAGGGTAAGTAACTATGTTCCTAAACATCAGCTAATATTTTGGAAACTGAAAATAAGCACGGTGTTGGTCAGCTGACAACTTCTCTATTTAGTAGCTATTTACTGAGCTCACTGCGCGGATTCATGGGCAAATGACTGTTTCCCGCCAGTCCACTGAAGCCCAGATATATTCGCTCCTTGGAAACCGTTTTGCGTTGCTACAAATGCTGCGCTGGTGGTTGCGCTTTCCTGCCTGTCTGACTCACGGCTACATGCAGAGCACACAAGAAGGACGTCAAGGTCACTATAATACATGACAATATGTTCTGCCAAGCAGAACACACACACACACACACACACATACATACATACATACACACACATATACACACACATACACACACACACACACACACGCACACCTGTCCTGTCCTGTAGAGTCACTGCCGCAAAAGGGTCACGAAATCCCATCACTGGGAAACTTGTTGTGTTGTTGTTGTTGGGCTTTATTTAGAGTGGAGTTCCAAAACAGGCCTAAACCTAATGACAATGGTCCCACTGATAATAAGAGAAAAGAAAAAATATAAAAATAAGCGGACAAACAGAATCGAGAAGAAGATAGTTAGATAACTAATATGAGAACGGCAGCAGGGGAAAAAGTCACAAGCACGGCAACCGGGAAGAAAGGAGTGAGTGAGTGAGAGAGAGAGAGAGAGAGAGAGAGAGAGAGAGAGAGAGAGAGAGAGAAAGAGAGGTAGTGAAGCAGATGAGTTCATCCTAGTTGACGGTACTTCCTAACAGAAAGGCCAGGCTTAGCGATTTGAAAGTGGAGCGCTTTCTTTCGAGGCGTGCTGTGTCTGGTAGCTGGTTCAACAGGATAGCTCCAGCATGGCTAATGCGCTTAGCTGAGGATGCAGTGGGGGACACAGGAATGATGAGTAACTTGCTGCTCCCTCTTCGTGTTCGGAGAGAGGGACTACGGGTGAAAAAGCTTGCAAACAGAGTACTTGAAAATTTGTTCAGGCAGCGCCAAATGAATACAAAGATGTGCATGTGGGTGTATATGCTGAGGGTATGGGCCGTGTTTCATGCGTTCAAGTAAGGGACTTGAGAAAGATAGAGAGAGAAGGAGAGAGAGAGAGAGAGAGAGAGAGAGAGAGAGAGAGAGAGAGAGAGAGAGAGAGAGAGAGAGAGAGAGAGAGAGAGAGAGGGGGGGGGGCACGACGCCCGGTGACGCTCCAGGTGCACAGGTAGTCGCATCCGCTTGCCGCATATGCACGCGTGCTGGAAGGTTGAGTGCTCCTCTGCCGTTGGTCTATGGGCCACCCTTGAGCAGTGATGCCTGCTCCGTCCCCTGACACCGCGAAAGCAGCGACCACACCTGTCACAATGCGCGGCACAACATCCCTCCGCCAGTGACGACGTTCCAGTAGCTCCAGGTGGCACTGTGGCATCCCCGTCGGGGAACACACATGCCGGACCAAGCCACACACACACACACGCACACACACACACACACACACACACACACACATACACGCACTACTACTACTACTATTGACAGCTGCCAGAAATGGCCACACCGCTCCCCAAAGGGAGGTACTGTCAGAGAGGTTAGGGGAGAGGTA